CAATTATGAACCTTTTTCGGTTACATTCAAATTTTTTTTGGTTTCGTATACACTCGTTTATCTTATGCACATTTTTTGATAATTCCCGTTCAGTCGCGAGATGATGTTTCATCACATTCAGCGTACGTAATCCATGTACGTTTATGCGGTTAAAGCTGTTTGATTCTGGTTAATCCGCTTTTGCGATACACACTTTTCTATTAATGGCCTCGCAAGCTTTCAGTAATTTTGTCTCTTCTCAAGCAGCCTATGGGCACTATTTTCTCGAGAACTAATTTTCATTTCCACGCTTTTCCGAAAGTTATGATCCAAACCACAAAAATTTTAATTCTCATTTCAAAAAAAATCATGTAAGATTATCCAACGGAATGCGTTTGACCCATATATATTCGATAAAACTATATACAAAAAATAGTATTCTTTTAATAATCATTTCTCACGCGTGGTGTGATAATAGAAAAACAAACGCGTAGAAGTTTAGTAAAACAGACATAATCGACTGCACTTGTCCTCAACAAATAAATGAAAACAAAGAAAACAAGACTGCTCGTATCAGGGCGAAGCCCTGAATGTTCCGACTGCCTTTTAAGGTTTATGGAGCAGCAGTAATAACATAAAAAATTGAATGAAATAAAATAAAATGAAAATTTTTTTTCGAAAATTTGAAATTTTTTATGAAAATCATCCCCCCACACTCCATATAAAGTACAAAAAGATCGATTTCGTTCCTTGTATCAAATCCATTATGGCAAATAAGCTTCGTTCAACCAATTTGGAACGATTTATAAGACGGATTAAATCTCCGCTTACGCTGTAATAGCGCGAATTATATCGCGCGTTAATTGTCCCAAATTGGTCAAAATGGCCAAAATGGCAATCTTTAAACCCTCATAACTTTACCAAAAATGATCACAGGTGAAATATCTTTTCAAATTTAAGTTCAGGACAACAATGGCCTTCAAATTATATTAAAAAATTCGGTCAAAAAGGGCTAGTTAAAAAGTCGAAATTTGTCTGAAGAAAAAAAAACCCACCCCGAGCACAAATATTCCGTTACTTTCGTATCGAAAGTCGAAACAATGACAAGACTGCTCGTATCAGGGCGAAGCCCTGAATGTTCCGACTGCCTTTTAAGTTTTATGGAGCAGCAGTAACTTTAAATAATTAAATGTAAAAAAAAACAAAATGAAAAATTTTTTTTTTTCTATAATTTGAATTTTCTGTAAAAATCATCCCCCCACACGCCGTATAAAGTACAAAAGGATAGATTTTCCTCTTTGTAACAAATCAATTATGGCAAATAAGCTTCTTTCAACCAATTAGGAACGATTTCTAAGACAGATTAACTCTCCGCTTACGCGTTAATAGCGCGAAATATATCGCGCGTTAATTGTCCCAAAGTGGCCAAAATGGCAATCTTTAAACCCTCATAATTTTACAAAAAATGATCACAGTTGAAATATCTTTTCAAATTTGAGCTCAAGACAATAATACATTTCGAATGATATAAAAAAAATTCCGTCAAAAATGGCTAGTTAAAAAGTCGAAATTTGTCTGAAGAAAAAAAAACCCAACCGAGCACAAATATTCCGTTACTTTCGTATCGCAAGTTGGAACAAAAAAAGCAAGTGCTTATGTTTTTCCTAACTTTTTGCACTAATACCTTAAAATTTTTTTGAAGCTTCTAAAATTATTTTTTTTCTAAATAAGTTTTATTAAGCCTAATTGGCCAGATTTCAGATGTATTGAAGATTAAGACGGTTTATCCACAAGGGAAAGGACCAACATACGAGCTGTTCAGCTCTTCACGGAGAACCATTGTTGTGCCCCCGTTAAAAATCTACATGCACATTTTTCGGTTACTTGGTCGTTTTACTCACTCGAAGTTGAACAAAAATTCAAAAATTTTAAGCCAGTTCTTCGCGAAGTTGGGAGCAATTCAAATCACGACTAGTTTGTAATTTGATATACTACTCAACTCGTTCCGATGATTATTTATGGCACCTTTTTTGCAAGTAAAACATAAAAAAAACTGGAACACACCCAAATACAAAGTTCCTCCCAAATTTCAATGATCGAAACAATAATTAGTTCTTAATGTGAAAAAATTTTTTGCCGTGAAACTTTATGCGCAAAAAGACCATGCTAATAAGGAGTGCAATACAAATTTCCTTTGTAACTATTCAACTCAATCACAACATTGTATTCAAAACTCGAAACCGAACCATTATGCTCATCACCGTCTACAACCCCCTCGCTCCCCCGCAATGGTCAACATCCGCCTCTACTTTCACTTTACCCATAACCCCTTCCACACACCTCCCCGTACATCCCAATTTAATTCCCAACACAAAAACGTTACCACCCACCCCCATGATTTCCCCCCGATTGATCAAAAGGTTGGCGTTTGACCTAAAGGGGGCAATAAAAAGAGGGGGAAGAGCAGGTATTGAAAAACGTAAATTGGATAAAAAGGGTGCAAGAAAAAATTTTGAACATTGACAAACTACAGAAATAAAGGAAATATATTGTGAAGGGAAAAAGTTGAAAACCAGACAGAAACTTCCTTAGTCTCACTTCAGCACTTTTCTAATAAAACGTTTGCTAAGTCAAAAATGACTCTGATTTTTGTAAAAACATTGCAGTGTTTAAAAAATTAACCCAAATTTAGAAAAAAGTTATCATGACCCAGGACAGGGGCGGATTTAGGATTAATCGAGGTGGCGGATTTTCAAAAATTTTTAATTAGTATTTATTGGCGTTTTAGAAAAAATTTAGGGTCGTTCGGCCCTAAATGGATTTCTTAAAAAGTACTAAAGGAGGGACTCTTTGGGTCGGCAGAGGGTCGAATCCCTGAAGAAAGAAAGCATCCACCCCCCCCCCCTAAACCCGCCCCTGACCCAGTATAATTTATTATAATCGAATAAAATGATTTTTATTGAATAATCGAATAAAATGATTTTTATTGAAATGACCAAAAAAAATTGTAATGTTTTCAATTTTTGTGGAGACTGAGGATGAAAAATTTAATTAATTGCTATTCAGTTATTAAAATTCCAATGCGGGCTGAGTTGTTTTGACGCTTGTGATTTTTATCCTTATAGAAATTAACCAGAACTTTAACCAGTCTATAAAAAATTGATCTGAAAAGTAGCCTTGTAAGATTTTTTGGCACTGCTATCTCAGCTAAGTTATAATCTAATTTTTTGATAATTGTAAATAAACTTAATGAAATTTTTGAGCATTTTTTTGAACATTTAATTTAATTCACAGATTGAATACAGGAAACACTTCAGAAAAATTATGTTTGCTACAATTTTATTAATCAAACTTTGGAATTTTTGTATAACTAACAGCAACAAAGCTATAAACAAGCTCTTTTTTTGTTTTTTTTACATACCCGCCATCATTGTCAGGATCGATTAGATTTTTTTGTCTTTTAGCACAACTCTGAGAGAAATTTGCGCAATGGTTATTAGTATCAAATCAAGTTAAAATTTTCAAACCGGAAATTAACACCTAAGTAGCGACGTATGTTTTTTGTGTTTTTTGTACGATCCTATTACAACGTTCAACTGATAAAAGAGAAAGCGCATTAGTTTTTCCTTTGATGCCTAAAAATTGGGAACTTTTAAATACATATTTTAATCATGACAAAACACAATTAGTTTTGTTTTAAAAAACTACCTCCAATGTATGCTTCGAAATAGCTTTTATCAAAGCAGATCCTGAAAGTTTAACCGTTGTTTGTTGTTGTTCTGACTTTCGATACAAAAATAACGGAATATTTGCGCTCGAGGTGGTTATTTATTCAGACAAGTTTCGACTTTTTAACTAATCATTTTTGGAAATTTTGAACTAATGGAAACTTTTTGTATCATTCATTTCATGCCATAATTCATTTGTTACAAGGAGCGTAATCTATTCTTTTGTACTTTATATGACGTGTAGGGGATGATTTCATAGAGAATTTCGAATTTTCAAGAAAAACTAATTTCATTTTCAATTACTCCATTTATTTTTTTTATGTTACTTCTGCTCTATTAACCTTAAAAGGCATTCGTAAAATTTAGGGTTTCGCCTTGATACGAGCAGTTTTGTTTACTTTACGTAAACTGAACATTTTGTTGACTTTGATTGAATAGTATACATAAAATCATCAATTTCATTGACTCTGCATTATTTTTTTAATTGCAAAAAACTGCTCGGACAATTCAGAAAGTTTTGAGATCATTCTATTCTTGTGTTAAAAAGTTTTTTACTCTTCATTTAACTGGCACAATTCACTTTTGATTTAAATTATCCGCACAAAACGAGAAAAACTTAAAATTTTAATATCAAAACGCTTTTTGCTCAATTTGGGTCGAATTTAGACAAAAAATGGTGACGGCCAATCTTGCTTGAAAATTCAATGGTACTAACATAGCGCAACTTGTTTAGCAAAATTCGCGCCGAAAAATTTCACTTTTTTTGGTTTGGTTCCCTCACTGTTGATGGTGAAACCTAACCACTCAACTTGCTTGCATGCGAACTTACACTTGTCTACAGAAATTGCAAGATTCTACTCGTCAAGTTTCTTTAGCACCAGTGAGCGTTAAATCCACTGTTTTTTGAAACTCTGCCGGTATATCCGTAAGACCGTAAAATCCCGTTTAGAATTGGTATTTTCCTGTAGCACTTCCGCCAATGGGACTGAAGTTGCATGTTTCTCGTGTTTTTTTATCCAACGGGATTTGTGAATACGCGTATCGTAAATCGAGTGTAGTGAATAATGTCTGGTTTGACTTGTCTGATTTCACCACTTGTGCGATATTATCCAGAAGGAGATCTATGTTTGGCATTTGATATTTGTTTTTTTTGTATGTATGTGTTAATCTTTTTGGAATCGAGGGCCAATTTAGCCGTTTGGTCCTTTTTGACAGTGATACCTATTGGGCTGATAAATTGTTTGTCTGAGCACTTATCGAGTTTGATAATGTGTTTTTGATCAATCAACTTGTTTAATTCCGCTTCGACCCTTTCTTGTAGATGTATTGGTATACGTCTACCCTTTTGTTGTACCGGTTCCAATTCTTTACTGAATTGTGTTTTCATTACCTGGTGTTTTGACTTTCCTATGCGTATGCATAATTGTTGAAAATCATCCTGACCCATTGTTTAAACTCGTGGTTTGATTCGTCGCTTCGTTGCACCGTGAGTACCCTGTGGGTATGTTTGTCCTGAATCAGTTTAATGCCGATGCGTGTTAATAGATTCCGTCCTATTATATTTGCTTTGTGGTTGTCCACTATAATGAACGGAGCTGTTTGTATTCTCCATCCCGACTCAATCGTAATTATTAGCCTTCCTTTACTAAATTACTGGCTGTATCCTCCGGTGGGATGTTTTTGAACACTGCCGTTTGATCATTTTGTTGTATTCGTTGAGCGGTTTTTTCGTTTAGGAAAGACATCGGGCTGCCCGAGTCAGCAATAGCGATTAGTTTTGTTGTATTTGTCTTCAATTTAACGATATGTCCATTTAGGTCGTCTTCCGATAGTGCTTTTGTGTGTTTTTTATTTCGAATGATTCCGATTTTTTTTTCTATGAACAAGCTCTTTTTTTTTGTTTTGTTTACAAACCCGCCATCATTTTCAGGATCGATTAGATTTTTTTGTCTTTTAGCACAACTCTGAGAGAAATTTGCGCAATGGTTATTAGTATCAAATCAAGTTCAATTTTTCAAACCGGAAATTAACACCTAAGTAGCGACGTATGTTTTTTGTGTTTTTTACGATCCTAATACATCGTTCAACTGATTAAAGAGAAAGCGCATTAGTTTTTTCTTTGATGCTTAAAAATTGGGAACTTTTAATTACATATTTAAATCATGACAAAACAAAATTAGTTTTGTTTTAAAAAACTACCTCCAATGTATGCTTCGAAATAGTTTTTATCAAAGCAGATCGTGAAAGTTTAACCGTTGTTTGTTGTTGTTCCGACTTTCGATACCAAAATAACGGAATATTTGTGCTCGAGGTGGTTTTTTTTCTTCAGACAAGTTTCGACTTTTTAACTAATCATTTTTGGAAATTTTGAACTAACGGAAATTTTTTTATATCATTCAAAAGGTATTGTTGTCCTGAGTTTAAACGTGAAAAGTGATCGTTTCGTATAAAGTTATGGGCGTTTGAACATTGCCATTTTGGCCAGGTTGGGACAATTAACGCGCGATATATTTCACGCTTTTAACGCGTATGCGGAGATTTAATCCGTCTTAAAAACATTCCAAGTTGGTTGTGAGAAGCTTGTTTGCCATAATTCATTTGTTAAAAGGAGCGTAACCTATTCTCTTGTTTTTTATATGACGTGTGGGGGATGATTTCATAGAGAAATTCAAATTTTCAAGAAAAACTAATTTCTTTTTCATTTACTACATTTATTTTTTTAATGTTACTACTGCTCTATTAATCTTAAAGGCATTCGTAAAATTTAGGGTTTCGCCTTGATACGAGCAGTCTGGTTTACTTTAAGTAAACTGGACATTCTGTTGACTTTGATTGAATAGTATACATAAAATCAGTCAATTTCATTGACTCTGCATTCTTTTTTTTAAATGTAAAAAATTGCTTAGACAATGCAGAAAAATTTGAGATCATTCAATCCTTCTGTTAAAAAGTTTTTTACTCTTCATTCAACTGGCACAATACAGTGTTGATTTAAATTATCCGCACAAAACGAAAAAAACTTGAAATTTGAATATCAAAACGCTTTTTGCTCAAATTGGGTCCTATTTAGACAAAAAATGATGACGGCCAATCTTGCTCGAAAACTCAATGGAACTTACATAGCGCAATTTTTTTAGAAAAACTCGCGCCAAAAAATTTCACTTTTTGTAGTCAATCAAAAGTTAATCCAAACCTATTGGTTTATTTGCTGGCAAAAGTACATCACTGCAAGCCTTAAGTAGCTCAACACAATTTAAAAAAGGGTACAATTTTCTCAGCTTTGTATAAACTTATTTATATTCTTTTGATAACCCAAAAAAGTCAGTTTTAAAAAAAGATATTTTTTTTGCACCCATTTTTGGAGATAACATCCTTCTCAAATCTTGTTGGATCAAATAACGAGGCTTTCAGCTTTCAGTGATATGCTTTTGTTATTTAATGAGCCAATAGATTTGAAGTAAGTTTTGATTGGCTTAAAAAAAACGAAAAGGATTTTTTGGGGTAATTTTTTGGGCCCGAAATATGCAAAACAAATTGCACCATTTTTGTTCCCGCACTCAGTAAAAACAGAAAATAACGATTTTATTACAATTATAACTGTACTTTCATCAAAATTTGAATTTTTTTTGAGCGCCAAAATTAGATATTTAAACGATTTATAATCCAATATAATGACAACATTTTTCGTGACATTATAATAAATTATAATCAATTATAATTGATTTTTTCCCGAAAATCTCTAATAATCTCTTAATAATCTCTTATAACATTTTATAAAAGATTGTAATTTTTTTTCTGTCAAAAATCTCTAAAAATGAGATATTTCTCATTCTTTGGTTCATCTGAACGCGAGATTTTACCACAAAAAAAAGTTTAGAGATCCCTTCTTTTTAGTTGAAAGAATCCCGCAGTAGGAGAGTTGTAACTTGTTTTGATAAACTATGAAACCAAAGCAGTGTGCCAATCAGGAAAGAAATGAAAAAAAACGTTATAAATTTGAATTGATTTGAAAACTGTTGCAACAATTTTTCCATTTTTCACTTGCATTTTTCACTACAAAACACATAAAATATAAGCAATAGGCTATAACTATACAGTTAGCAATTTTAACCGGACCTAAATGCTGGAGTGCAAGATCTTAACTTGGTCGATCTGGATGGAGGATGTTAACTTGATCCAATGAATTAGTTGCAAAAACGCTAATTTATTAGCTATAGTCGTGCCGCATGCGGATGATTTTTCATCGGTGACGTCAGTTGCACATACTTTTGTTTCAACCGTGTTTGTCACGTGCAAAAACAGTTCGTGTACTTTGATTTTAGGAAATGTTTCAACATAAAAAACTTTTACTTTGTTGCTCATATCTTTTCCAAATATTATCAGTTTATCAGTTTTCATTCATGTTCAAAAAAACTTTCATAATGAGAGTATAACGACATTTACAGCGGTGTGGCAATTCTCGGAAGAATCCAGTGAAACATTGCTTAAGACTGAAGAAACAGAACTTCTAGGTAACAAAAATTCCTGATATTTTGATTGCTCAAGGAATGCAACCAATAAAATATTGAGAAGAAAACAAAATAACGGAAAAGTCGAATGCAAAACAGCGTTACAAGAGAAAACCAAAATTATCTGGTCGTGGAGTTAGAGAACTATTAGTATTACACTAGTCGACAAATTGTACACAAATACAAGTTTTTTTTTATAAAATGTATCTTTTCAAGGTCCATTTTGGACTAAAGTTCTTCAAAGTTCAGTGAAGTTTTTACATAGACCAAAAGCATACCATCAGAGCTACCGTCTA